AATGCTGCTGCTTGCCCATGTAAGATGTTGGATGCTGAAGGGTTTCTCTTTCTTGGAAGTCGCTTCTTGGGCCCAGGTGCTGCGATGCTACTTATTGACCGGCACGTGGTTGGCCCAATGTGTCTATTTATATGTAGGAACTTAATCGTCCTGTCACGGTCGCCACTTGTTTATTAATAAAACAAATTTGGAAGCGACAAAACCAATATTTAATTCTACATCAACTATTTTAACTTTTTTAACATTAACAATTATTTAATGTCGGCGTGGAGTCCATAATTAGAAAAAGGTAAGTGCGGATATGGAAGTCTATTTTTTACAGGGTTGCCATAGATCACGTAACACAGATAATAATAAATGTCACTACACACACTCTGCAAAGGGCGCGTACACAGCTAAATGCTTATATACATTTTAAGTTGTAACTAGACTCAAAATGTCGTAACAAACAGCTAGACGCTTAGGTTGAAAAATTATTTAACTAAATAGCTTTGATTTGTAAAAAGTTATTGATATGATAGCGTGTAATATCCTTCGTTCGACTTATCGCTAATCGTTACTACGATAAATTATGATATTTTTTTTTTGTATTACTTTGTTTTGTACGTTGCTATTAATTCTAATCCTAAATTGAATATTCTTGTTTTATTGGATTGACTATTTAAATATTATTATCTAATTTATTCTAATTATATGTCTGATGATGTAATTTTTTATATTTAAATTGTCATATTAATTAATTTTATAATTTAATTTCAACTTTATTTATTAACTAATTATTTTTATTTAATTTAAAATTTGCATCTTGTAATTAAATGTTATTGACGTGATTTAAAAAAAAAGAGCATGTTGTGATAACCTATAACTAAAAGAACATTTGTGAAATTGTTAGCACATGATTATCATACCGTTTTTAATGTATCTTTTGTTGGTTGTCCTAATAAATAATTTGACGACACGTTTGGCTCAGTTTGTAGTGATCCTACTTTCTGTGCCAGCGGTCGCGGGTTCGAGTCCCGCTGGGGGCATTCATTTGTGTGATGAGCATGAATGCTTGTACTTCAGTCATGGGTGTATATATTTATAAAATGTATGTATTTAAAGCTATATATGTGTAATGTTTCAACTATCTGGTTTCCATAACACAAGCCCCGTAGCTTACCATGGAACTAGATGGTGCTGTGTGTTAATGTTCCAACATATTAACATATTATATACATAAAATAACGGTCTGAAAACATTATTCACAAAAACTGTTTAAATATTAATATTTATATGAATGTGCAGAATAACTAGGTATATTATTAAGTTTAGATAAATACATTTATACTTCCCTATTAATATTTCATTGGTGTTTTTAGTTTTTTCTTCACTAATTAAATGTAGTTTTTTTACTCTAAAGGTAATAAAAGAATCCTTTGTTTCTGTAATACTCGTTTAACTTTGTAATTAATTTGAATTATGAAATCTTATCTTGACCATGTTTCGGTGCTAACTTATCATATTTGTAAAAAGGTATGAAGGTATTCAAATCGTCTGTATTTTTATATACATACCTACGTAAGATTTTAACGACACGTTCGGCTCAGTTTGTAGTAACCCTACTTCTTGTGCCAGCGGTCGCGGGTTCCAGTCTCGCTGGGGGCATTCATTTGTGTGATGAGCACGAATGTTTATACTCTATTTTTTGTAATATGTATAGTAATAAATATTACAAAAAATGGATAAAATTTAAAATGTTTAGAATTAAAATCAATAAATACCTATTGTAAGGTGCTTTGGTGCCATTTTTGAATTTTCGCTTTTGAGACGTCTATAACCTTAGTCTCTCCCATGATTGTTGTAAAGCATTGGAAACGTCGGGAACCAAAAATCAAAATAAATCTGCGAAATAATGCGAAAAGAAAATTTTTTGCTTAAAATGTCAAATATTGTTGTAAATCTAAGAAAGTATTCACTATTATATGATATTCAGATTATACATGTGAAGTTTGTGACGATGTTTGGTTGTATGAATGTTTGTTGCTCCATCACGCGCTCTAATCGTTGGATACAGTCATACTCAACCTTTTTTTATAGGGGCCACAAACACGTTTCAGTCATAGTGTCGAGAGCCGCAAGCAAAAATTATTTAGGTTTTAATTAAAACGTAATTCCAAGTTAACGATGTAGTTGCTGTTTTAACAAAGATGTTTATATGTTTTAATGCCACTTTTGATACTGTGAACATTTTTTCAAAACTTTATCAAGATCTGGCTTGTCGCTACACGCTATCCTTATAAGATCATCCAGATGAGAATCTGTAAGGTTGTTTCTGTAAACGTTCTTTGTGTATTTGATTTTTTAAAAAGACGATTCGCACACATATGTAGACCCAAAGAATGTTAGTAGGATTTGGGCACATCTTTGGAAGGTTTTATATTTTTGGGGAACAATACCTACTCCAAAATTCCACAAATTCTCTGTTTTCCCTTTTTTCTTTAAACAGAACTTCTACATTTGTATCGTTTTCAAAATCGATGAACTCATCAAATAACTCTGAGTAATTACAATTTAAAACAGAAGCCAACTCTGAGATGTAACTTCAGATGGGCCAATAACAAAGGCCCGGCGGGCCGCGGGTTGAGTATAGCTGGTTGGATAGGTATACCTATTTAGTTAAAACCTGACACACATTATAATTGTTTACAAGTTACAACTATGTTAAGATGTTTTTTTTAAATTACCAAAACATATTTCAATTTTTGAAGTTCATTCAATGAGGTAGGTACGACAGGCAGACACACACCCTGATAAAAGAAAAGATTTTAGCTAACTCGTATATTTTTTTTAAATTTAAACAGACTCGATGTTCTTGACAAAGGTTAGAATGAAAAGAACGGGTTGAAATAAAATCCATTGGCCTTGTAATAATATTATTTGAGACACATTTAGATGCTAACATTTCTAAAATACATTTTAAAATAGGTACATTTAATATTAATAAAAAGATAATACAATGAATAATTCAATAATTTATAGACCTTATATACAAAGTTAACGTTTGAAATACATTAATTATTTTAATGAAAACAATCAGCCTTCACACTCAATTTATTTAATATAAATAATTCTAAATTATAACTAATAATTAGAAAAATGTTAGAAGTTTAGAGTTTTTTTATAAAACAAACCTTTATTAAACTAAAAACGTATGTAGATAAGGGTCTCCCATGGCCACCTTCTGCTTCCATCGTCAGTCCTCCATGGTTCCATAATATTGTTCCATATATTAACTTCTTTGTCTATTTTTTTTATTGAAGATTAAATCAAATATTTTTGAAGGCCGTCGAAAGCCATATAGTACTGCACTTTTGTGCACGTTTTAACAAAAAATTGTTAAATAGATATAATATATCATGTTTCATTTGGCCGAAATCACTTCGCTGTTACAGCGAAGTGATTTCGGCCAAATGAAACCGTTAAAAATGTTTGAAACAAACATTGTTGCTAGTACAATAAAATATTAAATACATAATAAAAATCTTAATTGGAATGTTTTAACATATTATGATCTGTTTCTCAACATTTGATCTATTTATCCGATATTTTTGTTTTATTACGAAGTACATGAAGCTTTTAGTGATATACGACTTAGATAAGATTTTACTCTACAATCATTGAAATCTCAAAAAAAAAATATTTTTAGATGGAAATGACATAATGTTTCTATCTTATACATATTAAATTTGTCATTTCAAAAAAAAAAAAAGATTTCTATTCTCTTAAACGATTGTAGAATACAATCTTGTCAGAGCCTTGTGTTAGAGTCGAGTCATCGATCAAAAAATTACTAGATACACAACCAGCGACAAAAATATCCTCACCGAATGAGCGCTCATTCAAACATTTGAGCGCGATTTTAATTATTTTTTTGGAGAAAACAATTTTAAGCATTTAATTGACATTGTTGTATATTTATTTCAACTAGAATAATTACCTAAACATAATTGGTTATAGTTTTAAGAGAACTTTTGCATGGGATTGTGTCCTAGTACTTTTTTGATCGATGTTGAAAGCTAATATCAAATATCAAACAGATACAAAGTAAGCAAATGAAGTAAAAGCTTGTAACTAAATGTGAACTTTATAACAAATATTTCTTTTGGTCATTGTCATTCGTTATGTGTAGTTGTTGTTTTAATAAAATAAAGTGCTATTATTCTTAGGCACTGATTTCCCCAAAGATTTCCAAGGTAATCATACCCACTATACTTAAATAAATTATTTAAACATAAACTACGTGTTTCGAGAAATGAGTTAAATATACGTATAATATATGTATATTACTCGTATATGATTTATTTTATTTTTTTATTTCTTTCATAATAATCTTTGTTTTGAATAGATAATTCTTATTCTATAACGAGACTAGAAGTAGAGATCAAGATTTTATAATATGGCATAGTTTTCTAGCAATCAGGATAATATAAATTATATATGTACATACATATATGATAAATTACTTAGAATATAATAACGGTTACATAGTAAAGGCTTAAAGTATTAATATTAATTATTCTTAATCGAACCAACAAGTGTATTTTCCCCACAAACAACACATTAATAAAATGCGAAGTCGACAAAATATGTTAGCTTCACCTAAAATCAATATGTCGGTCTTAATGACCTGTAATTAACTATTTCCAATTAAGGTATTGGCAAAACATATTATTTATATAAAACAAAATGACGGACAAAACGAATTTCACATAGTTGCCATTTTGGGTCACCTTATTTAACTCTATATCGAATATTACGGGTCATTTAGACTTTCGAACATGAATTAAAACAAGTTTGAGTAACTAATTAGGATTGGGGGTCTTAGTGACCTGTATGAGATGTTACTGGGTGTTTTGCCAGTATAATAAGATTGGAAGCAGTGTGGATTATATCGTGTGGGGTGTAAATCATATGAAGTCCATGTGGGTGTTAGGCATGGGATGTGTGGGACCGGCTTACCGCCCGAGGCCGGTCCACAATAGGCCGGGGTCGTGGTGGTTGGCTGCCGGGTACGCGTACGCCTCCACATCCGATCTACGGTTGTAAGATCTACGTACAAATGATTTTTTGATTGGGATGAAATAAATGGTGGCATTTAGGTAGGTGTTACTTAAAATAATGAATAAAAATCAATAAAATATGTAGCTGAGGGATTTATATGGGAGTATTATACTTCTGCAAAGCAAGAACTATGTATACGATATACCTAATTACATCGTACTAAATATCAAAATGTATTTTTCGATCAATAATTCGCCTTCGCGTCTTTGTATATTATAGGTAGTTCAATTCATACATTTATTTATTTTAATTATCCAATTTGGTCCTTGCAAAAAATATTTAAAATTGATATTTTAAGGAAAGTACGCAGTATTTAGGTACCAATTTGTAAAATAAGTTATAATAATAAACTGTAGTTCAATATTTCTACAAATTATACTTCTAAACATAGTTTATACTTTATACACAATAGATATTGGATGAAGCCTGTAAAAGTTTTTATCAATTGAAGAGAAGCTATTTTATAGGTTTCATACGGATGTAGGAGTGGTTTCAAACATTACTATGTATTTAAAATTAAATTTTCTATTTGTTTGTTTCATTTTTATGTCTCATGTCGCTTGTATATAAATATTTTATATATAATATTTATTATATAGAACAGCAACTAAGTTATTAATCAAATCAAAAAGAATGAGATCATATTATTGTTCATTTTATGTGCAAAATAATGTATAGTAGTTTCCTTATTAGCTCATAAATATATAATTTTCAAGTAACGCTATGATATGAAATGTAACAATAAACTTTTTGTAATACTGTAATGATAATGAATAGAGGAAATTCATCTTTGTGACAAAAATGTGAATGGAAAACTTGTACGTACAGGGGCGGACCGGGAATTTGGGGCACTGACAGCGAATATGACGTGTGATTTAAATAAAGATGAAGTATTTTTTTTGTAATATTTATTGCTTTTGAATTAAGTTTATATTAATATTTTTTAATGTGTTTTTTTTATTAAGAAAATAATTATTAAAAAGTGCAAAAACAGGTGGGAAATTCAAAGTAGTTGAAAAGCAACGCCACTGGTCAAACCGACGACATCAGAGTATTAGCGATTTTGTCGCTTCAAATTGAGTCATCATTTTTCTATGCATATTATACTGTGACGTCACGCTGAGCGTGACGTCACATTATTTTTTGTTCTTTTTTTTATAAATTCACAATATTATCCGTTGTTTTTAACAGGGGCCCATTTATATCTTAGGGGCCTTGGGTTGCAACCCAAAAAGCATTTATATAGATCCGTATACGAATCAAGTAATAAATTTTTATTATTAATTTAGGGGGAAATTATTAGTAGCAGATTGTTAGATGTTTCATCTTAATATCCAAAATCATAAAGACAAAACAAACCTTCATTTTGTATCTTTTGTTGGATTTTCCAACAAAAGATACAAAATGAAGTGCATTTCTTGTCTGGGAATCGAACCCGACACCTCCGTAAAAGTTGAGCATTTATTTGGTCACATCTCTATTTTCGTCACGTCTGTATTTGTGTTTTTTTTGTAGAATTATATAGTTTATAACAAATTTTTGCATGACCAATGCAAAAATTCATTTCTAGTCTTAAATATGTGGGTTATTAGGAGCGACTGGTCTGTAATAGGTATATAATATAATGCACACCTGATGTTTCCAGTGGGTCTGAGCGGGCGAAGCGCATGGAGCCTTCGAATGCCGCTACTGCCGCCGCCGCCTCCTACAATGTTATTCAAATTTAAACCATATTACTATAATTATACTACTCATAATGTAATTGAAACTATCTTCGGATTTTGTCGCAATTTATTTGAATTTTTGTTCCCGACGTTTCGAATGTTTTCCAGCAAACATTGTCAAGGCAGAGACTTTCCCAAAAAAATATCACATAAATTTAAGAAAGTATTATACTATTTATAAATTATAAAACTTTTTTATATATTAATTATTTATAATTGGTTTAGACAACAACATATATCCATATAAAAGTAATTTCAATTAATTATGAAATAATCCTACTTAATAATAGCTCTTAAGTGATCACAATGCTTAAACTCATGATAATAGTTTTATAATCAAAAAACTACGTCGAAAGCCAACATTTAATTAAATTTACTGTCTATCAAAATATAAATTTATGTTAAGGAGGCAATATTCTTTCTAAATATAGGTAGAGGTATGCGAAGATGTATTTTAAAGATCTAAGAAATATATTCTAAGCAAAACTATCGTTTTGGATTTTTTTTGCGGATTTATCTTGATTTTTGATTCCCGAGTTTTCGTATGCTTTACAGCAATCGTGTCACAATTACTAAATAAAGCCGCGAAAAAAACCGAAAGATAGTTATATTTAAAAGGTCAAATATTCGCGTTAATCAAAGAAAGTACTATGTGTATTCTCTAAAAATGTTGAATGACATTACTTGGGTTCTTTTGTGGTAAATTACGTTTTTTTAGATAATTTTTAAATAATAAACAGCTTTGCCTACAAAACATATCTCATAAACTTCACAAAGCTCAAGACGGACATGTAGACAAACATTCAACTAATTAAACTTTCATATTGAACGTGATGTGGAACGTACTCATACAACTTTAGTTGCGACAGTTCGATTCAGAAACTAGTAGTGACGACTCTATCCGAGTTCACGTAATATTATACGACAACATTTCTAATTTTTTTAGTAGAGAAAGAAAATAAATATTTTCGTATTATAATTTTATATTACAAATGTAAACCGGTGTAGGCGTGGAAATGATACATCCTTTGCCTGTTTATGGAAGAAATTAGGCAATGAAAAATAATATGAAAAATAAATGTACCTATATAAACATGACGCAAGAGAAAACAAACACATCTTTTTACTAAATACTAGCAACTCACACTCGCTCGCGAAAATAAAAACAAATCTATTCCACGGAAACTATATATTTTTCCGGGATCAGAAGTAATCTATGTGCTGTTCCAGATTATAATCTATCTCTGTGCCAAATTTTATCCAGATCCGTTTAGCCGTTTTGGCGTGAAAGAGTAACAAACAAACATCCATCCATCGATCCTTAACAACTTTCACACCTAGCAAGTTTTCGAAAGACATGTGAAATCCACCAACCCGCACTTGGCCAGCGAAGTGGACTATGGCCCGATCTCCCTCGTACTGAAGGGAGGCCCGGACCCAACAGTGGGACGTTAAAAAAGGGCTGAATACATACATCTATTATCTATACTAATATTATAAAGAGGTAAAGTTTGTGAGTTTGTGAGGTTGTGAGTTTGTGATGTTGTAGGGGGTAATCTCTGGATCTACAAAACCGATTTAGATGAAATTTGGTAAGAAGATAGTTTGAGACCCTGGGAAGGACATAGGATACTTTTTATCCAGATATCATCCCTTAAGGGGGTGAAAATGTGATGAAAGTTTGTATATAGAATCAAGTTAGGGACGAACACGAGCGAAGCGAAGGTGAGTCTCTAGTTGAGATATAAATAGATTATTGTACTTATAAATTGCTCGACTTTTGCCGCAATATCCTCATGACACGTATATTAATCTAAGTTTACTCATTAAAAACAATAAAGAACTAACTCCTAAGAAATTATATAGCATGCTGCAAGTGTGTGAGATATAATATTCTGAATCAAGTTCTGTCTGGCTGCAATAAAAGGCGTAATCGGAAAACTTGTAATAGCCGCAACTGAAACTATAAATATTAGTATGGTTTTGTTTTGTTATTGTTTTTAGTATTGCTTAAGAATATTATGATTGAATATAATTGCTTTGTCAACTCGTGCCTAAAATTTTCTTTGAGTAATATAATTTATTCCAAAAAGGTTTTATTTCTAGCTCCCAACAAGAAATGGAAATTTAGTAATTTGTTTAAATGTTTCTACACTTTATTACCAATATCTAATAAGAAATAAAAATATAATAATCGTGGGTTCGAATATAATAATCCTATTCATTACTAATGCCTTTTCTGTTAGCTTACAATTATTCCTTATATAAACATACAAATGTAATTTAAAATTGAGTTTTCCGTAAAACATCATAGAGGCAACGAGGCTATTAAAAGTAACTTAGAGCTTCCGCTAGCGCGAGTAAATTAGTTGTCGTCATCAAAATGCTACAGTAAAAATGGTATCAATATATATTATGTAATCATATATAAATTCATATAAATATTTATATGTAAAAATGAGGTACAGTAATATATAATTAGGTTGACGCATCAACAGTTATAAAGTAGAGTAAAATTAAATATTCTTTCCTAGAATTCTGTTTTTTTTTGTAGAACGTATGTACTTAAATAATGTTATTGAAAATTAAAAAAAGAGCAACTGTTAAGTAACATTTCTTATAATTAAGTAATTTAGTAAAGAAGTGTGAAGAATAAAGTAAAGAATAATGCAGAAGATTTTTTCAAATTCATTTTTTTTACATTAAATTAATTTTTTTTACTAAACGTCATGAATCTACCGCCAGTTTGGAAAAAGCTTCCTTACAGCCAACATTGGCATTTTTAAAGCGATCAAAGAAAATTTTATTTTTTAATAAATATAATAACAATACCATCATATTCTGTACCATTTGTGTGATTGATACCTTATACTCGTACTACTTTTGAAGTACCACTTAGCTCCTCCCATGAGGTATTTCTTTTTTTAAATCAAATAGCGTAAAATGTCGCTATTAGATTACACACAACTTTTATTTTCTTACGTAGGAAAATATATTATCTATACAACTGCTATTGCTACGGGTTGGACCCACGGTTCACTGTCTGAGAAGTACCAGGAGCAACCCGCGAGGCATACCTCCCAAGTTCGTCTTTCGCTTCACGCCTGACAGGATTGCCGGATGCCACTGATAACCTCACTACGACAAGGACACATCGGGGATAGATAAAACACTAACTACAAATTAACCACGTGAAACAGTTAAATCGGCTATTAGCCATGTAAAATCATAATCTCAACTTATACTACTTCTACTTGTCTTTACTCTTAGTTAAATTACAACTGTAGTACGCTGACCCTAGGTATACTGCAGTCGGATAATTTACCAATTTATACTAAATACTAGCGACTCACTCTCGCTCCGCTCGGGTTCGACTCTAGTGAAAATTTAGGTTTGTATGTATTTTTAATGCCGAATCATAAAAAAATTAAAATAAAAAATTGTGTCCCAAAAATAAAAAATTTTGGGGGTGGACCACCCTTATCACTTAGGGGTATGAAAAATAGTTTACGTCCTATTCTCAGAACTACTGAATATACACACGAAATTTCATAAGAATCGGTCAAGCCGTTTAGGAGTAGTTTTGTTACAAACAAATGTTACATGATAATTTTATAAATTAGATAATTTAATAGTCACTTTTAATCTTAAAAGGAATTCTTTAATTTAGAAGTGCAAACTATTTTCTTGACATTGAACATCATAAAAATCTGTCAAAAATGACCTAGAAGTATAATTGACCTAGTGACCTACTTAATAAATACTTCCTCATTTTAGTCAAGATTTCAGAGGGATTTATTTGGGACTAGCGATACGTTTTGACGGTTAAGACGGGAATAGATAGACTATATATTATATATATTATTCATAGGATGAGTTGTGGGTTGTATTATAACGTGTTCTCCCGTAGGAATAGGGCAATCTCCCACGGTACAAAGCCTATGTCACTCTCTAGCCCTTCGACTATCTCCACAATAAAAAAAATCACGCCAATTTGTCACTCTGTTTCGACGCGAAAGAAGGACAAACAAACACCCTTTCACCTAAATAATTTTAAAGTATGGATGTAGGTACATTTAGGTTACTCGCAGTTAAATTCCACTTTTTAGAAAAAGGTCATGTTTGGTGATCGGCGTCTCAATAAAAATACTTATAAAGACAGATAAAGGCGTAGAGTAACAAGTAATAAATAAAACTTGTAAAATAAAACGGTTGTAGCACTCTTTTTATGACAAACGTATATTTAGATGACATTAATTCCTTAATATTTATTCATATCCATGAATATGTCACAGTAAAATGTCATTTTTTTTAAAACAGTATTATTTTCTTTTTCTTTATATTAAGCAAATTTCAATTTATTGTAATATTTATAAAGGCATCTTCTCTCTCCTCATATTTTCTAATAAATTTAGGACTGGGATAATCTTCTATGAGATACTGCATTTTTTTTAACATTCATTAGGAAATGCGTTCACGCATACCACCTGCACACACATGTGGGACTCGCCGGCAAAGCCAGTACTACCCACTAAAACCTAACTGAACCTCTCCCGTCTTAATGAGGCGTCGCAAGATCGCTTACGCACTCCACCACGACGCCCCGATGCCAAGTCTACCAAAGCAGACCACAACAACCACGGGTTTCTCCAACGATCCACTGATCTGAACTTTCTCACAGGAGTATCAGAGAAGCACCAGGAGCAACCCCCGTGGTACACGGCCCACCGAAGTGGGCCACCTCCCAGTGCGTTTCCTGGCTTCGCTAATGAGCCCTCTCACCACGACAATGTGAACGCACACTGAGGGGGTCTATGAGATACTAGTCCATGTGTTAAGTTAGCGGTCATAATAAAAACATAAATTAAATAGAATAAGCAGATTGCTTCAACTTCTAACATCAGCATCGAGTAATGACGTCAATCTGTTTTCGTTTTCGAGAAGTAGTGACGTCATTATGTTTGACAACATAGAAAATAAGACAATAAATACTTATATTTGGATATAAAAACTTTTTTCTTTGATATAACAAAAAGTTTATAAGTAAATAAACATTATTTGTTTGTTCCATGTAATTTTGGTGTTATATCCTACTAATATTACAAATGCGAAAGTTTCTGAGGATGTGGGGATGTCTGGATGTATACATGTATCGATGTATGTTACTCTTTCACGCAAAAACTACTGAATGGATTTTAATGAAACTCTAAAATAATATAGTTCATACATCAAAATAACATATAGGCTACTTTTATTATCCCGAAAAGATTTACGGTTCCCGTGGGAAAAAATTGTTTTTGTTTGTTAAGCGAAAGTAAGCCGCTAGTGTATAACAAAATCATAGAAAATAATGCTTTTTATGGTTCTATTTTTTGCCAATGCTTCACTGTTGTTTTTTTATTATTCTACGAACACCCGCGACTGTAGAATTTTAACTTATCTTCGGATGAACATGATCTAAAACAATGCAATTTATTTTATTCTTACTTTTTTAATTTAATTTAAAAGTTAAAAATACCTTTCTCTTAACTTTGCTTCCCTTATACCCCAAATAATTTAAATTCACAAGAAAATTTAGTTTATTTTTATTAATAAATATTGTCTTAAAACAAAATAGATTTTTTTGGAACACCGTATGCGTACAGCCTAACCACGTCCGCGACATAGCACGCTACTTGCTTGCCAATTAGACTTGTTAAGGTCTTATAACTACTCGTAAATGGGAAGCGGGAAAACGAATCATCCTTTATCACGTACATTTTTCCTTATCGTTCATTCAGGAAATCTTAAATTTAAATATATATATTTAAGAAATTAACTGAATGTCGGTCTGTATAAAAATAATAATTTTATGACCCTTTTTATATGATACTATTTTTAAAATTAATTAACAGGCTTATTTGTTATTAGTGTTTCTCCAGTGCGCGATATTCGGCCGTAATCGTTTTTTTATATTGATAACACTAAAATTTGTTAATAGCTATAAAAAAAAAGAAAACCGGCTGTCAAGCAGAAGCGAAAAAGGTTCTGAGCCACGGTAATATTACATATTACATTACCGTGTCTGAACTGTTCTGTCCTTAGCTATCTATTAAAAAAAAAACAAAATGATTCTATTTTTTTTATTGATAATGCTAAAGCTTAACTAAGCAAAAAAAGGAAATTCTTTTACAAAAAGAGGAGAAAAAGTTATTGAACTGTTTTGTCTTTGCGTACCTTTGTATTCCACAGCCACAAAACCAGGTTAATATATTATGTACAATAGCTTACTAAATTAAAATTGGTGGTGGCTGGTGGGAGCTCCCTCTCGGACATGACATTTAATTTAAATATAAAAAAATATAAATTTTGGCGATTCCAAATGACTATATATCGATGAAATGATGATGAATGAATTCATCAATGATGATGAATATATATTGTACTGATTTCCACCAAATATATAAACTAAATTAAATATTCTGATCGAGTTCGTGTATAAAGTAGGATTGACCTACTTTTTAAATATATTATAATATTTACAAAACATCAACTGACATGCTGGTATATAAAAAAATAACTCTAACACCAAAGTGTTTGTATATTTTGATTGGCTATTGAAGAAGTAAAGAATATAAAACTGCCTAAACATTTCCATATGGTGAAATGAAAAAAGTATTTATTTCCAAAAAAAAACATATTAGGATTATTATATTATACTTACGTACCTATAAATAGATTTTATGCTATTATTTGCGTTTTTAAATGATATTTTATTAATTATAAATTAAAAATTTTAAAAACCCTCTACTAAATACTAAATTTTAAAAACACGCACGTACGCACGCACGCACGCACACACATACACACACACACACACACACACACACACACACACACACACACACACACACACACACACACACACAGACATTGACGTCAAACTTATACCACACCCTTTTTTGGGTCGGGGGTTAAAAACTAAGATAAAAATAATTAGATAGTAAACTCACTTTAAGTACAGTTTAAGATGAAAAATTTAAACCTAAACACTTAAGAGATAACTCAAACTTCTTAAACAAAGTGTAACTTTGATAGATCACTTTAAACAGCTTAGCGAACTTTAAATTCTTTACTTTGGAAATTACTTAAAATATAATTTGAGCCTAATTTAACTTACCAGATGACGAAGCATGTACTACTGTGGGTGGTTCGAGGAACAACTGAGATCTTTGCTGCGGAGAGAGAGATGCGAGTGTTTCCAAGTTATCTCGTAGAGAGTCGAAGAAGGAACCGACGTCATTGAGCACTCCTGTAAATGATATACTTGTTATTCTATTTTGGCAAGAAAAAATGTGAAATATTTTTAAGTGGTCTTGTAGTCGTGATTGACTGCAGATACTGGGGTCCTGAGTTCGAGTCCCGAGTCATTCATCTATTAACTTACAGGATGATTCACAATCAAATGAATATTCTAATAAAATATGGTCAAATATAATAAAGGTAACGTGCATATTGCATAAGTTTGCTTATGATATTATAATCAGGAATTAATCTTATAATTATTTATTAACATGCATTATATATAGAATATTAAAATATATAAATTTACTAAAAGATTAAACTTTTTGCACCATTAGTCTCAACGCTGTGACGGCTATGGGTTGGTTATGGGGGATAATATTATTTTCTGGCAAAAACAAACATCTAAATAGTGTGCGAGTGTAATGGGACGAAAACAAAATAATAAATTTGGCAGTTTAAGGGCGCCAAATAACCTTGCTATTAAAAAATATACGAATATGTACTCATTTAGTTGTATGATTTGTATTTTAATTTTGTACTAAGGGAGTTTACATTGAATTTAAAATCTATTAGCCAATAGCCATGTTTTTTTAAATATACTTATTTATTTACAAACAGAGGTTAAAATATTTAAATTATGTAATATATGTTAATTTATTAATAATTATAAAGTTAAAAGACGCTTTTTGTTGAGTCTTCAAGAACTAATATTATTAACCAAGATGTGTGAAGTGAATTAAGTACTAAATAATAACGCCCACTCCAGAGGTATTGTGTTTTATTAAATATAATTTAAAAAATATTATACGAGTAATCAGTGCACAAAGTTAAATTAAGCTTGAAATAATTGCATTAGAAAATAGTAAAAGCTGTAAAATTCGTATATAAAAATCAATTGCCGTTCGTTAGTCTTGCTAAAACACAAAAAAGGCTGGACCGCTTTGAATAATTCTTTTTTGTTTTGTTGGGGGGTGTTTCAGGGGTGGTTAAAGTATAAAAAAATAGGAAAAACCCAAAAAAAGCGGGAAAATCAAAAAGTTCAGAACTGTTTATTTTGTGCCTATGTTCTATATCTATACATATAATAAATTAGATATTTTTTGGAAAATCTAATTGAAATAAACATTATTACCGATACAGAGGCGGAATCTATGGTATTTAAAATTTTTGTTTCTGTCTGTCTGTTACCGCATCACGGAAAAGCCACTGGAGGGATTTTGATGAAATTTGGTATGATGATGACTGGTTATCCGGGTCAAAATATTTCATCTTTGAGAAATCTATACTAAACGTTAAAACGTAAGTAGGGACGAACCCGAGCGGAGTGACGGTGAGTCGCTAGTTATATATAATCTATGTATTCCAAACTAACAGCTAAAACGTATCTAGGGATAAATCTGAGCGGTCTGTCGCTAGTATAAACATATAATTAAACATTTTTATATTTAGTACATTTAAACATGAAATAAAGATATTAAAAGTAATTTGTATTAGAAAAAGTAATAGCAGAAATAATAAGATATATCAATGCTTAACTAAATAATATAAACGAATCTACACATAACATATTTTAGCTTGTAATATACATATAATGTTACAAGTGAAGATAATTAACATTATAGCAATAAATGACCGCCATCGACGTTGCTTACCGACGCCGACATACGGCGTGACGGCCTTACCGAGCGCGGGTGCGGGCTGCCGGCGACGCCGACCGTTCAACACCGTTGCCACTGCCGACCGCTTGTCAGACTCCCTGTCATTATATAATGAAAACATTATTTTAAGTGATAATATTTAATTTTTATTATTATATTTTAAGGCAGTGGTAGCCCAAAAGTCCGAGTAAAACGGGTTCAAATCCTGGGTATCACACATCTGATATTTTCATTTCGAACATGATTATCAATGTCTTACGGTGAAGGAAAACATTGTTAGGAAACCTGCATATCTGAGAGAACCTAGCAAATTTTACCGTTTGGCTATTTAGATAATTTCTATGTTTATATCTTCAATAGAAAAAGATAATAAATACCGCAATTTAATCGTACTCTTGGGTATAACAAAGGTCCTCGTATTACAACGCATAATGTGAAACAGAGCCTCTAATAAAAGTGTGCCCCTTTTAAGATGTCACACGACACCGCGTATCGTTTCAATAGACAATAAAAATCCTAAAAATACTCAAACAAATATTAATAATTAGCATACTTTATGTACTTCATTCTTGTATTTGTAATAAAATGAATAAATAAAAAGTATGTCGTATTATTTTATATAATCAGATTTACTACTAAAATACGAGAGTTTTTGTGTGTTTTTGTTACTCTTTCACGCTGAAAGCTGGCTGGACCGATTTGGATGAAATTTCGTTGAATAACACATAGCTTAATGTTAGGTACCTGTTAATATTTATTATTTTAAATATCAAATCAAGTCGTTATTCGTTTCGCTAGGTATATAATAAAAACATATATATATATTTTGAGTCATTTTAGTTGGTTTTTGTTAGATTAACAGAAAGCCAATGACAACAAACCTTAAAATGTCATCATCATAGATCCTCGGTCCATCGTCTTGTCTGGGCGGGTTAGTCCTCGGGTAAACACTGTCCATATCTTCTTCAATACGAGACCCTCTATCCCAACGGCTGTGTCCAATCCATGGTTTTTCAGCGAGAAGACCCAAAAGATCTAGGTTTTCGAGCCTATAGTCTCTAGTTTGGGCCATGGTGAAAGTTGCACCTGCGTTTATGTATTTTAATTATTTAAAAAATAAGTACAATAAATTAAAACTTTTCATTTTAGATTTTTTGCGTTGTTTTTTTGGTTTTATATCCGACGTTTCAAATTCTTTACAGCTAACATCGTCATGTAGTCTAGTTAACGAGTGACTCTTTGATCAACTTTTATCAGCAGTCTCGGAAAAATATGAATGAGGTTTTCTTCGATTCGAAATGGCATGTGATTTTTGAAAATAATCAAGTTCCAAAAATCAAGTTGCAAAAATGAAAAATATCATTTTTTTTAATTTTCTCAATTGATCAAAGGAAAAAATCTCAGATTTGTTATTTAACAATTATGGCACTTGCGACGTTCATGTTCAAGTAGGAAAAAAGTATTAATTAACTAATGCATAATTAATAGAAAAATGGCAATAAAACTTTTTTGACCACGGATTATTGTTCATTTATCTATACAGTGAGCCCCTGAATTTTTGCATATCTCAACTTTTATAATATTTAATATGTTAAAATTTATTATTTATATTAAAAAATATATTAATATTTTTATTGATAAAATGTCCGAAGCATGTCCAATGCGCGGCTTGCGCAAGCCAGAGCACCCGTTTTCGCAGTATTTTCATCCCTCTAGGAAAATTATAAATACAATTATCTACACTTCCGCCAGTCCGGACTTTTTTAGGAAATTTCCTTCTATTATTAAATCTTTTCTTAGATTTGAAAAATCCCAATGAGTCTTTATGATATTTGCAAAAATTTTTGCAATTTTTGCAAGCGGAACTTGATTTTTTCAAATAAAAATCATCTACATGTCATTTTAAATTAAATGACACCTCGTTAATATTTTTCCGAGACCGCTGAAAAAAGTTGATCAAAAAGGCACTTGTTGACTAGAATAATAGGAGAGATTAAAAAGCATTCGAAACGTTAGAAGCCAAATACGAAAATAAAAGTGCGAATTTATCGGAAAAAAAATCGTTTTATTAAAATATTCATTAAAAAAACTAAGAGAATATTAGTAGTATAGTGATTATTATTGGTGGTACCATATTAATTTTAAGAAAAAATTCCACAAATTAAAAAATAAATCCACAAACATTGATATAGAAAAACTCTTATATATCAATGTCCATAAATAAAAAAAATACTTAGGTATATTACATGATTTAATTTTTGATTAATATTTGCTTTACGTAGGGTAGAGTGAGAAAACACTTCCTTTTAATTAGTAGCCCCTATGTTGTTCTATATGTAGTATATATGTAACTGTATAAAGGGGTTTTCCGTAATATCACAATTAATTTGCCTTTATATATATTTAGAGAAAAGTAATCTAACATTTCTAGAAAAATTACACCATATTCATCTGAAACACGAGTGCAGGCTTAGCTAATATTATTCTACGTTTCTTTTTTAAAATGTATCGTTATTGATAGTGGCTGTCTCATGTTTGAGAACATAGCATGTAATTCCTAGTACTATTGTCCACGCGTCGGATGGAAGACAAATGATCTATTGTAATTCATTGTATTACTCCAAGGAGTTCCTCAGATGTCTTTTGTAAGCTTTACTTTAAAACATAAAAAAAACCGCTGCACATACGCCAACCCGGACATAGCCAGCTTGGTGGACTTTGACCTCGTGTCGAAGGTGAGGGAATCAAAATCGAATAAAATAAACTGTAGGTAAATCAATATATACATATACTAAAATTCTGAGTCGAATCCGTACATTAAATATTTTTTGGAAAATCTTATTAAAATAGTCATTATTGTCGATACAGCGGCCGAATCCATAGTTTTTAGATTTTTTGTCTGTCTGTCTGTCTGTGACCGCATCACGAGAAAACCACTGGACAGATTTTGATGAAATTTAGTATGATAGCTGGTTAGCCGGATCAACAGATAGGATACTTTTTACTGCGGAAAAATATTTCATCTCTAAGAAATCTACACTAAACGATAAAACGTAATGTTAATTGGCAAAGACATAAAAATAGTTCAGTAACATAATACAAATAGTAGCTATTGACGAGCTTTGTTGTTCTCAAGAAAAAAAATAGGAGAAATTTAGTTTGTTTATGAACAAAGGTGAATTCTATTCATATAATATGTTTTCCTCAAATTTTTTATATTTGGTTATGGCCGGATTTCGACCACTAGGCGGATACCACCAGTTAAGTATTATTATTGCAGCGACATACAAATACAATCCAATTCTGTAACATATACCACACGGGAAATTAAAGAAAACCAATTTTCAAAATGCTCAAAGTGAAATTGTATACCAATAAGCATCAATACGACGCCAGACTGATGGTAATTGATAAATTGCTTTTATTTTTTGTATCAATTCGTCAAATTCAGGTTACAAGGGTTAAAGGCCCTTATTTGCGTCGATGTATCGATAAATCTTCCCTTCTTACTCGTGCAATATGATCTCTACTTTATTCAGTTATATTAATGTTATTTTTTATTTATATTAAAAACTAGCGCCTCACCCTCGCTTCCCTCGCGTTCCTAGGTTGAATCCTCATACAAACTTTCATCCCCATTTTCACTCCTTAAGGGATGATTTCCGTAATAAAAATACCCCATGTCCTTCCCAGAGTCTCAAGCTATCTTCTTATTAAATTTTATCTAAATCAGTCCAGTAGTTTTAAGTTTATTTGTTGCAAAGATACAAAAAAACAAATTTTTCCTCTTTATAACTATAGTAGTGTAGATATACGTACATACATACATAAGAAATTACGTTTATTATCTTTTATGGTTGTTGGTTATCCGTAAACCGGAAGCAGTGGTAGCCTAGTGGCGACGTACTCGCTTAGAAAATTAAGTGAAGCGGGTTTTAACAGGTTTGGTTTGCAACCTCTTTTTTTCTCGTGTAATATGTGAAACGTGAAGGAAAAAATTGTGTCTTTCATGGCATATGAAATCTGTTAACATTTGGCGTGGTGAATTATGGCCTGAGGCTAGTGCCCAGCAGTGGGACGTCAAAAAGGGCTGAATTATATACGCCAATACTTATTATTTAATACGTTAACCTAAAAAGGATATAGGCGTAGGCGGCCATTACAGTGTGGTACAATATACGGCATATTATACCGCTATACCTACTGTGTCACGAGTTAGGTTGTTTTGCTCATAAGCATAACACTAATTTTCGTTATTTTATATTACTTTCTTACGCGAATATTTGATATTTTTAAAAAAACTATCTTTTCGGATTATTTATACCTATTTAAAATATAGAAATAATACGAAACGATAGTTTTATTCCGTTATTATAATTAAAATGTGATGAAATTTTATTTTAACATAATAGACCATCGCTGTACGTAATTACCTTGCAAGTAATACAACATCGTCACAGAATACTCTTAATAATCTCCAACCTTTGAAACTTACGTTGTAATAATTTATAATACTGTAGCTTTCTAGGAATTGTTTGATTACATTCTCAGCAAATATTTATTAATATTACCTTGTAAGTTATGAATTTCACTTTAACTAAGGTTTGTAAACATTTAATTCTTTTTATTTCTAGCGGCTCACCCGGCTCCGGCTCGGGTTCGTCCCTACTTACATTTTAACGTTTGGTATAGATTACTCAGAGATAAACATATAGAATACTTTTTACTGCGGGAAAATATGAGCGGGAAAATAATATATATATATATATATATATATTATATACATATATATATATATATATATATATATATATATATCATATTTTCCCGCAGTAAAAAGTATTCTATATGTTGACCCGGATAACCAGCTATCATCATACCAAATTTCATAAAAATCCCTTCAGTGGTTTTTCCGTGATGCGGTCACAGACAGAGAAAAATTCTAAAAACTATGGATTCGGCCTCTGTATCGATATTAGTGTTTATTTCAATAAGATTTTTTTTAATATCAATGTACGGATTCGGCTTAGTTACAATGTTATTATATGTATATATAGATTTAAAAAATCTATGAATGCATATCCACATCAGCTAGGTTATGATCATGTCAAAAATTAAAAATGGCACCGACTTAACTTTTAAATCTTATATTGAAACATTATGTACCTATATTTATATAATCTGGGGGTTAATGACTACGACACAGTTTTAAACTAATGTTGTCTTTATCGAACATAATTTTATAAATTGTAATCTTTAAAACGTGGCCAATATAGAGTTTTTATTATTACAAAAATAACAGAGTGGACCGTGGAGCAACCCCATGATTGTAGTGGTCTACTTCGGCAGACCTGCCGTCGGGGCGTCGTGGTTGAGTGCGTAAGCGATCCTGCGGGGAGGTTCCGTTGGGTTTTAGTGGGTAGTACTGGCTGAGCCGGGGAATCCCACACTTCGTGCCTGAATGCATTTCCCAACGTTAAAAAGAAAATACCCCTAGGGTGACCTTTTAAGATATCTCTACAAATACAAATGGAATATTACAGAATCCAAAACAACACGATACAACGTGCACGATATTGTATGTACACTCTATAGATACACCGTATAGTGTACTTTGATCATGATCAATTGACAAATTTGATCCGACTTTTGTGTTGTGTCCCACTGGATCGATAACGTACTTATTCCTTTATAAGAAGACTAGCATTGCCCGCGGCTCCGCCCGCGTTCAGATGACCAAAAACTAAATTCTTAGGTGTTACATATTAGTATACTCTTACATTGCAGTTTTTGTATTTTTCCTCAGAAATAAGATATTTTCCCGCGGTAAAAAGTATCCTAGGATCGCGCGCTACATCGCCCGGTTTATATAGCTTGAGCAGGCGGTCGAGCGATGCGGGGCAGAGGGGATGGACTCGCCGTAGGCATCTCAATGCTCGCCAAGCATTAAAAATGTTTCGCTACTAATTACTTCTAACAACGATATCTCAAAAACTATTCATCTGATTGATTTAGTGTAAAGAGCAATTTTAATCTGCATTAAATGACTAAGCTAACTAAAATATTCATTTGGATAAGGATTAATA